TTTTTCTCATGAATGAGGAGTGCTCGCATGACCTCCTCATTATCATCAGGCCCTGAACGGCCTTCCTCACGCTCCTGAAATGCATCCATGTCTATGCCACCTGGGGGTAAAAACCCAGAAAGTTAACATCCTTAAATATAAAAAGAAATCCTTTATAGCTAATGAAATACATATTTTAATGTGTTATATTTAAATAGATAATAATATAATACCACAGACTTAACCAGTTTCATTTCTTGAGTTGCTATCCACAGAGTATTCAAAATGTTTCTYGCAAACTGCAGCTTAAGTAGTATAATGGCCAAGTACACAGATTTTATGAGTAATACACAATGGATTTGAATACTGGTTCTTCCATATGCAAGCTGTATCACCTTGAGCAAGTTATTTAACCTCTAAAGTTCAATATCTTTTCTGTAAAATAGGATGATAAAAGAATCTACCTTCTAAGACAATGGATAAAGATATATAAAATAATGTCTACAAAGAACCAAGTACAGTAGCTGGCATAACAGGATATCAAAACATGGCTTCTCACCTTGCTCAGAGTAAATGCCAAAGGCCTTGCAATGACCCATGAGGTCCTACACCATCTGGAACACCACCTGACCACCTACCTCTTACCTCTTCTTCCTCTTACTCATTCTGTGCCAGCTACGGTGGCCTCCCTGGTATTCTTGGCATATACAGGCATACCTCTACCTCAGGGTATTGTAATGCCTGCTCCCTCTTTCCTGGAATAGTTTTCCTCTAGGTATTCATACAACTACTCCCTTACATCTTCCATGTTTTTAACTTAAATGTTGCTTTATCAAAGCTCTATTTTCTCCCAAAGCACTTATTTTCTAACATCATAAATAATAGGTATCTGATTTAAGGAATAAATATCCTCTCATCACAGATCTACTATTTTGTATGTACATTTTGACTGATATAATGTAGATGAAAAATTTAAGAAAGATATTTGTACTTTGCATTCTGATAATACCAAACAAATTATTTAAATATATAAGAGGATTAAAAGTATTGAATGGAACCTGATTCCTGATTCAAATACTAACAATTTATTAGCTGTATGATTTTTGGCCAACTCATATCAACTCTCTCTGCTTCACTTTCCTCAATACCTGAAGGGAAAAAAGTAATAATATTTACTTCACTGAATTATTGTGGCAATTAAGTTAATGTGAAGTACTTAGAATGGACCTGGCACTTAGGCCACCCTCAATAACTTAGTGAGATCTTATCTCAAAATAAAAAATAAAAAGAGCTGAGAATGTAGCTCAGTGGTAAAGTAGCACTGGGCTCAATTCCGAGAGAGAGAGAGAGAGAGAGAGAGAGAGAGAGAGAGAGAGAGAGAAAAGAAAAGAAAATAAGTCAAGTTTAACCACTTCAAAACATTGTCAAAGTTAGAATTTCTCTCCCAGTGATCTTATTTGCCAGTGTGGTATTTCAACAGAAAACAGTAAGGAATGCATTTAAGTATCTAAGGGAAAACTGCTAAGAAAAGAATGTTTCAAATAGTTACCAACACAGTGTTTTAATTTATGTTTAAAGTAAATATGAAATTAGCAGAATAACATTAGTTTCGTAAAAGTAAATGAAGTCATATCAAATCTAAGAGATTTCTAACAAAGTGGTTTGGAGAAGAAAGGAATTTTTTTTTTATAGATAAAGAGAAAAAAGCAAGGATAAATGAAAGTAAAGTAAAACAGTCTTATTTAACAGTTATAAATTACTAAGATATATACTATAAAACAACTGAGATCACTGATGACAATAAACAATTCTGGGCTTAAAAGACAAGCTACAACAAAAAATATAGGAAAAGCCAAAGACTGTGTAAGTGAGCAGAAAGGCAGCAGATCTCTTTTATATAGAAAAGTGAAAAAGAAATGTTGTCTACAGAAAAATAATCTAAAATATATTGAAGACATGATCCAAGATGTAAAATACAAGAAAGCATTCTAAAAGGTACCTAAACATGTTTCTGAAGTTATTCATCTATTATATTTCCATAACCAAAGCAACAACCAAAATGTCAGGTAAAAATCAGAAAAATACGGGAAATAAAACTGAAATCATTAATGATTTAATCTATGTATTAATATTAATCTATAACATGTATCTGGTCACTACATCTCAAGTATATTAGAATGAAAATGGTATGAAAAAAACAAAGTAAAATAACTTCTGGCGGAGATGGCTCTGGGCAACAAGACTACTTGTAAGGAAAGTAGAATAGAAAGGAATTAGAACTTTCAGTACAGTAAAAAGGACATGATTGAAGTCTGTAACATTTGAAAAGATACCAACATGACTTGAAAGTTTAAAGAAAACTTAAGTATAGAATAAGCAGAACTCACTTCATACATGCACCAGTTAAGTCTGTTCTACATCATGAAAGTGACAGTCTAACTGCTATATAATCTAGAACATCCTAAATCAAAATAACTAAACACAGCAAACTAGTTAATGAGGAGGGAAGAGTAAAAAGTATGGTGGTCAAGGAAAACTTCTTTCTAACTGGAGTTAAAATATCAAAGAGAAATCACACTAGAGGTACTACCCAAAACTCCATAGTACTTTTACAATCCCTAGAACATACAGTATACTAAATGTTCATTTTTAAAAGGAAAAGAGGTTAGGGGAAAGGCCAACATCAAGTGACTTTCAGTTACTGATGATTCTTCACCACTAAAGAACCATTCTCAGGTGATATGCTAACAACAATAAATAACCTGGGAATAGGTATTGATGAGATATAACCAGAGGTACAGAGACTTCCTGCCACCTGTTTTCCAGTTTTTGAGTAGTATTTGTGTCCAGTCTTAGATCCTCCCATTTTCTATATCACATTCTTGAATCCAGTACCCTAGACCCAAACTTAGAAAGCAAAATTTTGTAGTTCTCAAACTTGTGAAGATTATTATGCAATTCTCAACCCTTTCTGGCTCATGAAGATTTCCAAAATATTCTAGAATAAATTTTTATCAACATTGGACTGTGAGATATTCAATCCTTTACATATGTGACATCTTTGTATATATTTCAAATAGCACAAATACCTTGGTATTTTAGAGGAAATAATATTAAAATATTTGCACTAGTGTACAGTTATGGCTTTCAATTCAAAAAAATAAAAATACATATAAATTAGGGCTGTAGAAGATTAAAGGAGAGATGAATTTGTAAAACAAGTACAGTGAATTTTCCAGGTATTTGCCACTAAGTTAAGTTCATTTTCTACTGAACCCAAGACATAGACTCTTACCTTCCTTCATCTCTTCAGAACTATAGGCTCCTTGGACAGTACTCTCTCTCAACCAAATAGGTCTCTCCTTGGCAGATTTGCCCTCCAGCGATGTGCGATGAACATCATCTTGATCTTCCATGTTAATTACAACATTCTGAGTGTATAGGTCTTCGTAGGAGGGGCCTTTAGTAGTCCATGCTTCTCGGTGGTGCCCACCTGCCAATCCAGCAGCTCCAGCAGGAGTTGCTGAACGGTCCTTGCTATATAAGATTAGAGGAAAATACAAAAGAAGAAAACTTAAGTCTCAGTGTTGGAAAAGAAGAATAGCTGGAGATGGTCACTAAATTCTTATAAATAAATGCTTTTCAGCTTTAATAATTCTCAGGAATCTCTTCTGTAACTCAAGGAGAAAGCTGCATGGATTAGAACAAGACATCATATTTATTTTTTAAGTTCCTTAAACACCAAATCCTATGGTGTGTCAATGACTATGGTTTTATAGATTAAGATGGTTCAATAAATCTACTTAGGGGAAGCCAGGAATAATGGTGACATAATTCACTAAAAGATAAAAAAAATTAAAATTAAAAACTTTCCCAGTAACATCTTTCATTTTAAAAACAAAATATGTTGGAATTTAAAATATATTTTCTTAGCTCAACCCAGAATAATCCAAAATGATTTTGAGTGCTGACCACAGAGGTTATTAGAAAATTATTCTATAAAGTGAAACCTCAACTCAGAATTAAATTCTCCTTCTACAACTCACAAAGTATGATATATCCCTCTGCAAAGACCAGCCTATTTTCTATCAAGTTGAATTGTTCTATTTCCATACCTAATGCTGTCTCTTTGTATAGGTCCTCAACTGCTATTTCTACCCAACAGGGACTATGTTCTATTTTTCTCTCTATTGTTTGCTCTTTACCTCTACTTCCCTCTGACCTTTGTCTGTTAATGTAAGTGTGATCATTCCTCATCTTTTTCTCTGGTCACTTGTGTTCCCCCATTTCTGAGTTAGTCAAGTTTTCTGTCTTTTGGCTATTTCCTGCTTTCCCTACTTCTTGCAACCTATTCCAAATTCTTTTGACTATACTTGATTCTGTATTTGAGCTCAAACCTTGTCTTTCTGTCAACTACTACTGTTTTTTCTTTTTTGGCATCAATTTTTATGCAGGACTCCCCCTTCTCCTTCCTCTCTGTCTATGTGTCTACTGCAGTAGTGGGGATTGAATGCAGAACTCCTACATGCTGGCATTGTACCCTGAGGGACATCCTCAGCACCCCCTTGCTGTTTAGATAGCTATAACTGTATTCATTCTTTAAACATTCAGTTTCTTTTCTTTTTTTTTGGCGGGGGGGGGGAAGTGGGAGGTATTTACTATGTATTTAATCTAGGGACTCTTTGAACACTGAGCCACATTCCCAGACCTTTTTATTTTGAGACAGGGTCTCACTGTGTTGTTAAGGGTGGCCTCAAATTTGTAGTCTTCCTGTTTCAGCCTTCTGAGTTGCTGGGATTATAGGTATGCACCACAGCGCCAGGCAAACTTCAAGTTTCTTGAACTAACTGCTGATTCTATCTATACCTTTTGCTATCTTCTTTTCAGTGTTCACTGACTGAATTTCTTGGCCTCATTTTTTTTTTAATTTTTTTTTTTTTTTTTTTTTTTTTTTGTTGATAGACGCTCATTTCATTTATTTATATGCGGTGCTGAGAATCGAACCCAGTGCCTCACACATGCCAGGCAAGTGTGCTTCCACAGGGCCCAGCTCCAGCTCCAGCTCCAGCCTCATGTTTTTCCTTGATTCTCTTAGTCTTTTCCTTGGAACCTGGACTACTTTGTGTGTAAAGATTCTTGTTCTGATGATAATCAATCCTTTGTCTTCTATCCTCATAAGCCATTTCTTATTTTTCCTTCATTTTAGGCCCTTGTCTGTTCTGGAACTACATTGATCTACATTTCTTTCTGGGCCCACTTCATATCTACTCAGGCTTTCTGTCTTGTGCTTAGTTGAGGTTTCATCTCTGTCCATGTATCTGACTAGCCTGTTACATCTCTTTTGCAACACTGTATCTGACCTTCTTCAAGAGGTACACTTGGACTTGTCCCATTCTTCCTGTCCTGACTCTGGATATTTACAGATCCAGTGAAACTTTTGCAATCAAATACCCACTTTCCAGTTGTTCAGTCCATCCTGACCCCATCATATAATTCATACCTTCCAGCTTCTGCCTCTTCTACCTTCTGCATTCTTTTCATTACACTAGTTGTACTCAGGACTACTTTGTAAACCTCTTTTACCACAGTCTTTTCTTTCTGGCACCTACTGTATCTGTTCCATGTCTCAGTTACTTGTTTTGCCTCCTTCCTATCTGCTTCCTGTTGCCCACATTCTAGCAGTTGCTTGTTCTCCCAACTCTGAGTCTTTCCAAATATATCTGATTCATCTATTTGTTTGCTGTATTCTGAGGTTTCATGCAACAGTTGTAAGTAACTGGTTTCTATCTTCTACTTCTTTCTGAATGCATGTGATATTACTTTTTGTACTATTAACTGTTTATCTCAATTGAACCATATCTGTCCCTAGTCATTTTTTAAAAAATTTTTTTGTAGTTATAGATGGACAAAATGTCCTATTTGTTTTATTTTAATATGGTGGTAAGGGTCAAACCCAGTGCCCCATACATGCTAGGCAAGCACTCTGCCACTGAGCTACAGCCCCAGCCCCAGTCCCTAGTCATATTTGTTCTGTTTTTTACCTATTCAATAGTGTCTTCTAAAAGGCTATGTAATCTGACTCTGCTTATTTTGGTGTGTTGGCTTTTTGAATTTTGGTTTCCCTTAGCATTCACTTTTCTTTTTCTTGGCCTGATCTGTTTGTGTTTTTGTGCTTACTCTACATTCTGAGTCTCTCCTCCCTCACCCATTTGTCTCCCTGAATCTTTTCAACACCTCTTCTATCCTCAGCCAACACCTTTACTCTGTTATGCTGAGCCTGTTCTCTATACCAGTCTACCCCCAAAATGGGTCTCTTGATCTTTGCTAGGTAACCCCAYCTAAGAGAGACAAAGTTATCTTTCCTTCTCAAATGATTTGACCACTCTTTCTCAGTCTATTCTGTTTTTGTTTTTCCTTGCAGAACTGGGAATTGAACCCGGGGCACTCTACCACTGAGTTACACACTCAGTCTTAGTTGGGAATAWAGATATGAGCCACTGGGCCTGGCATCTGTTTCTTTATACATACTCAGGAACACATAATTTTCATATATGCTCCTCCTTTAGTGTTAACTCTGAAAACTATCTCATGAAGGTATAAGTAATACTTTAAATAGAGAAAAAAAAATAAGAAAGCTAGAAAGAAAGAACAAAATATTTAACATAAATGTTAACAAAAGACTGTGTTAAGAGTCTTGTTTTCAGTATTCTGTTATAGAAATTTAAACAGTGTGATACTCTAGAAAGACAGGTCACCATAGGCTAGCTTCCAAGAAGACAACCAGCATGTTAAGATCCTTTAGGATGTAACTGAGCTGTGAAATCAACCAATTTTGAACTGTACTGCCTCAGGGCTTCTGGTCATGCAAGACAAATTTTAGTACTGTTCAATCTATTTCTAGTTGGATTTCTGTTATTATAGGCAAAGGCCATCCTGATGTATGGTCTCAGATTAGAAAATTCACAATAACTGGTAGAGATGCAAAACTTTCTCTGGAAAACTGAATATATATTTTTTTACCACCCAAATGAAACTCAGGAACCTCTATCCTGTAACATCATGACCAGAAGGAATAAAATACTAAGAGTATTCCTAAAAGCTGTACAACCAGAACTTATTAAGCTCTACATCGAGTAGGTGGATAAAAATTTATCTTGATACTGGGAAGAGAGGAAAAGCACAAAGCAGTAGAATACTCACTGACACCAGTTCTTGTTTATGCTTTTTCAAAAAAGAATATAACCACTTTTTATAGTAGAACAAAGGCTGACTCTGCAATTCAGATATTAGTGCACAACGAAAAAAATGGGGAGCTATTGTCAAAGTATTAACCCATAGGTAAYACTCAACTATACTTTCAAGGAAGTTACATTTAAAACTAAGGAAAGCAAGAAATGTGTAGCTAAAATGTCTTAAAAACAACAACAACAAAAAGAAAATGCTATATGGAAGAATTTCAGTCTTCAAAATCAGTCTAGGAAAATTCAAATATCCCCAAGAGGCACAACTAATTTAGGATTAGCTAACAACTGGCTGAGTTACTGCAGGCCTGAGCAGAGTGAGTAGCTGAGGTCAAACCTGAAATATTTAAAGATTTTTGCCTAAGGTCCACACTGTTCTGCTTTCAATACAAACAAATTTCATTATAAGCACAAGTGTACAAGAGCTTACTTGTACCCTTTCCCAACAACGGCCTTTTCACATATTACATACTTGGGACTACATCATAAGGAAAGCTTATGTAAAATTGTAGCCAGTAGTTTCCTGATAAATTACTTACCCACTCTTGCTCTCCAAAGTTAAAWAAGTGCAAGTTTAAGGGTCCTTGGTAAGGGCACAGGGCCTCCACTCACCTTTGTTTCAGGGCGGGGATTTCTGTGGGTTCTGGCTCAAGTATTTCATATGCCAAGTTCACATCCTCTGTCTCCCGAAGCAATTCATAAATGGGCTCAATTTGTTCATTAAACCTTGCCAAAAGTGTGCGAGCATCTTTTTTGGGCATTGCTGATTCATCCTCTTCTACCTCTGTATGGCAAAAAGTACAGCGGAAAGTTCCTACAGACAAAACAAAACTTTCAGGTCAGAGAGGTAAACTGCTTCAGAAGAGCCTTTAGCAAACAGTTTGTCTACACTMGTCCCCCAACATTTTAGTAAGACTTTCAAATATGCAGAACAGCTGAATGAATTTTACAGTGAACACCCATATACTCACCTTCTACATTCTACAATTAACATTTTGCTACATTTATTACATATCTACTCATCTCCCTATGCGTCTATCACTTTTCATGCATTTCAAAATAATTTCAACCACAATGGTTTTTAATCATGTTTCTAAGATATTTACATATATTTTAACTTAAAACCAAATTCTTTACAGCTTACCACTCTACTTGTACCCTTTCTCAACAACTTCTTTTTCACATCATATGGGTCTACATCATACAGAAAGCCAATAAAAYACCTAAAACTAAAAGCTTCTGATCATCTTGTACATCACCACATGGCTATTCTTTCAAACTTATTAACCATTTATACCTAAACAAATTTAGATATAAATTAAAATTTCCAAAATTAAAATTCAAGAAACCTCTTATTTCTATATTCCTCATATCCAACTCAGAACTAAACTTCAGTAATTCCTTAGGAATGTCCTAGATTTTTCACATCTACTGTCATTATTCAAATCTAGGCCACCATTTACTCGTAAAAGGGCTTCCTAAATATGGCCTCTAAGTTCTCCCTTTCTAATTCCAAGTTTCCTATGCCACCACCTTTATCATCTTATCCTCTTGCTTTAAAGTATTTGATCGCTGGATTTCTAATGTACACAGCATAAAACCTAAAATTTCTCATCCCAAATTCAGGATCTTACAGAATTTGGCCCCAAACCTCATAACAACCACCATCATCTATCTGTCAAGAAAATTAGTTTATTTGTACAGTGCTTTGTTTCAAAAATGCTTCCACATATTACTTTTGATCCTTCTATTAGTGCCTGTTATGGTTTGGATATGAGGAGTCCCGCTAAAATCTCATGTGATAAACAATGCAAGAAGGATACGAATCCTGGGAAGTGATATGAGAACTGAGTCTTTTAGGAATTTGGGATTTGCCAAAAGTCACATAGCTAATAGAAGAAAAAAACAGCAATTATTTTATGTTAAGATTTTATGAAGTGTCAGGTACTACCAACCCTCTGGATTTTGTATTATTATTGCCCATTTAAATCTATAAAATAAGCTGGGTTAGTGATGCACACCTGTAATCACAGCAACTCAGGAGGCTGAGGCAGAAGGATTGAAATTTCAAAACCAGCCTCAGCAATTTAGTGAAACCCTGAACAATTTAGTGAGACCCTGTCACTAAATAAATTATAAAAAAGGCAGGGGATGTGGCTAAGTGGTTAAGTGCTACTGGGTTCAATCCCTGGAACAAAGAAAGAAAGAAATCTATAAAATATAGTAGTTCTAAGGGGCTCAGTAATTTGCTCAAGATCATACAAATAAAATACTAGCTGGGAGGAAGGATAGGAATTAAATCAACCCAAACTGTTATGTTAAAACTCAAGCACATAAGTGTAATCTAACAGTCTACACAACTAGCACTGCACTTGGGTTTCCAGTTTATTCTACATAAGAACCATCCATCCTTTCTAACTCAACTTACCTGAGGGATTAAAACATATCAGATAAGTAATTAGTGCCTGTTATGGTTTGGATATGAGGTGTCCCGCTAAAATCTCATGTGATAAACAATGCAAGAAGGATCTGATGTGAAATGATTAGATCATAAACTGTGATCTAATCAGTGGACTAATCCATTTGATGGATTGATAATTTGAAAGGACACTGCACTGAGTAGTAAAACTACATGCAGGTAGAGTATGGCTGGAGGAAGTAAGTTATTGGAAGCATGCCTTGAGATTTTTGTCCATGGCTGCTTTGCACTCTGCTCTGTTTCCTGGCCACCACGAGCTGAGCAGCTTTCCTCTGCCATGCTTTCCATCATGATGTTCTGCCTCCCCTCAGGCTCACAGCAATGGAGTAGGCTGACCATGGACTGAACCTCTGAAACTCAGCCAAAATAAAGTTTTCCTCTTCTAAGTTGTTCTTGTCAGTGATGTAAAGCTGACTTACACAGTGCCTGGCACATGATTAGTAATCAAACATTCAGCTTTAAAAGGCTCCATATGTGATTGACATATAACCTCATACCTACCCTCTCTAGCCCAGATACAGAATAAACAAACTATGCATTTATGCTTTGATGGAACACTAAATTCCACCGATATATTCCTAGTGAAATAAGTTTCTTTACTGACCTGCCCTAGTGGCCAATAGCCTATCAATTCCTTGTTTACACACCCTTGTCTAAAACATTCTCTATCTTCCTACTATCTAAATACTACATAATTTTTCATGTCTATCCCAAATAAGTTAAAAAAAATAGGAGACTTCCTACTATCTAAATGCTACATAATTTTCCATGTCTATCCCAAATAAGTTAAAAAGAAAAAAAGAGAAAAGCAGCCCTTCACAACTAGACTCACAGCTCACTAATATCCAATAAGATCCTGTGTAACCATGATGAAGTGAGGCAAAACAAACCACTGTGAAGTCCAAGGCAAGGACTTTGTACAAACCACTGGTGGGGGGAATGCCCAATGAGCCTCTTTACCAATTTCAGTTTTAGCTTTGTCCTATTCCTTGCACCTAGTAGGGAAGACTTATTAAGGTACCAAATTATAGAATTTCCCCACTTCTTGATAGCACCTAGTCTAGAGCAAACCCCACCACTTTCTAGACTCCTCCAGCAAACTACTCAACAAAAGCCCAAATTCTCTAAGTTTGTCCAGTGCCATCTTACTGAGACACTCTAGCTCCCCATGGGTCGTGACTACTCTTGCTGCAGAAAGCATCCAAAAAAATATCTTTGGTTGCTCTAGGTGCATATAGCATGATTCTGACTAAAGGTCATCAACATAAAGATTGTAGCATCATCAACTGCACAAGAACACCACTTACCAGGATAAAGAGAAAAAGAAAGTTATTTTCTTTTTGCAGGCAACAGATATCAAGGTGCTTTAAATTTCTGAATCCATGTTATACACTGGCCATTGAAATAGGTGTGTTAGATTCCCACTTTACAACTGCTTAGAGTTTCTAAAAGGGGAGTTTAGACTAGAAATTTAGATATGAGAACATAGAGATGATAACTGATGCCAAGGTAGATCAGAGTATTCAAAGAGAATGGGGAGAGTAAGAATAGGTTGTCAAGGTATAAGCCCAAGAAAATGGAATCCCTGAGAAACAGAAACAGTATCACCAGAGGGGCAGAATATGTTTAAAGGAAATGGTATGGTCCTAACTTTTCAAAGTCAACAAGAATGAAAACCAGCTTTAGTAACAAAGGTTAGTACTGAATTTGGTTAGAGAGGGTTTAGATGGCACACTATCTTAGATTATACTCTAATTCTTCTAAGGCTCTTCTCTTCAACAGAAACAAAACATAATCCATGTGGGATTCAAAAATAAATTATATAAAATAAGGTTGAATACAGCTCTCAAATACCTGCTGAATTAAAAAATAATTTAAAAAATCACATCCATATGGGATTTAAGTTGATTGTTTAAAGATAGGTACTAATAGAGATCACCAAGTAGGTGGTTGAAAAATTATACTACACTGAAATTTCAATAGTGAAAATATAGTCACCAGAGAGAATGGCAAAAAACAAAATTTATAAGAAATTAGGTGGTCATAAATGGGTCTTGAATGCTATGCTTCATTTTGACTTTATTCCTCAGTAATAGCAAAGCCACTGAAGAACATATTTACATACATTAATTCATCGTAGTGGAATTAATACTTGCCCTGCTCCAAATATACCAATTCAATTGGTCTGAGCAGGGCCCAGGAAAATAAATTTGAAGTATCACAAAGAATTCTGATGCACACGCTTGAAGGAGAATTACTGTTAAGTAATCAAAATGATAAATATTCCAAATCTTCTTGTAACTAAACTACTCTATGCTAAGATGTACATACAGAATTTACTACTCAAGAACAAGAGAAGAAATTGGAATTGAAGCTCAGTGCTCTGTACCATTTTTCTCACATATAAGATCAAGGCAAAAACCAGAAACAGTGACTCCAAGCCACATAAGGGAGTATATGTTAGCTATATTTGATGATGCAATAGCTGAGAGAAAATGAAAGCTACTAAGCTTCTGAAGCCAAAGACTGACAAATCATGGGATTGAGGGAAAAAATGAGTTCAAGGATAACACATTTAATACTCCAAACTACAAAAAAAAAAAAAAAAAGAAATACAAATATTTTCATGTATTCATCAAAGACAAGTCTGACATATAAGGGAAGTTTGCCAGATCATAACTTGAAAACAAAATCCACTAAACCTGGATTCACATACAAATTTGTCTGACTCAAAATATTAAATTCATTTACCATCCTGAATTACACATCCCTTTCCCAACCTCCTCTCATCCTTGCCAGCAACTACTTAGCAAACCTTTCCCATATATATACTACAGGTCTCATCTTTTTGTTGTTGTTGTTTTGTTTTAATATGGAACAGGAAGAATTCACATGTCTGTATTTACTTTGCTGAGTCTTAACCTATCAGGTTTTCCAGAAAGATCAAAATATATCCAGTTGCAGATTAAAGGCACTCAAAATAGAGAGAAAAAAAAGACATTTTACAAATATACATTTTAAAACTATGTTATGGTTATATATTCAGTATTATAGAAATGCTCCTGTTCTATGGTTCAGGACTCTTCCAAGAAAGTTATCACTCCAAAGCAGAAGGAAAGAGATGGAGAACTAATTGTGAGGTGGGAGAGGGAGGAGTAGAGTGCAGGGAGAAAATTCTAGTCCATCTTAACTTTCTCCCCAAAAATGAAAAGTAAGGGGAACAGGTAACAAAAGAGAAAAACAACAAGTAAAGATCAACAAAATTGAGAAAACATAGAAATGGCATCTATAGTGTTGACCAAGGCCTTCAACTTCACTGCTTCTAGTACATTAAT